GACTCCGTTAGAAGTCAAGCTACCTTAGCTGTGAAGTTAGCCAGATAAGGTGCCTCATTTTTCTCTTTGATTTATGACTGTTTTTGTTTCCCAGGGAATGGGATGATGAATTTGTTTTCCTTATTTTTTAATGCTCTTTCCCTCGCTCTGTTTCCTGGAGTCTTTCTGAGATGATAGCCCTCAGCTGAATATTGCTGTGCTTTTTTGCATCTGTTGATGGGGAGGTGTGATTACAGTATGCCTTTGAGTGGGCATTAATTACTGTTTATTGCATTGTATATCAAATAAAAGTGCACTTTACACTATCTGACAACGAGACTGACTAATAAAATGGAATTATTTTTCAACAGGTCACGTTGAAATTCAAGTAAAATGGTAAAATCTATTGGGGACAGTGCTTCTAAATCAACACTGACACTTAAAATATGTTAAAACAACTGTGCCATGTAACTCAGTAGCTAATTTCCACACACAGCCTCATACATTTGTGGAATGTGCACACTGCTGGTGGAAGAAATAGACCACACACCAAAACTTTCGCTGCGTGTGCCGATCTGCTCTGTGAACTGTGTAAACATGGAAAGGACCAGGCCATGCTGCACTAGGATACTACACGCGTCTGCTCTGTGTCCTGTCTGTATGATGCCACAAAACTAATGAGTGTGCTAGGATGTTAGGATCTAATGAAACCCAAGGGCTACCAGAGCATGCTAGATTAGCACACAGAACTTAAAATACTAATTACTTTAAAGTCGAGACAGACGGAATGTCAAATACAAACCACCAAGAGGCACAAGGATAAAGAAACAGGTCACTATATAAATATGAATACTGATTCCTCTTTGAAAGTTATTATTGGTATTAATATTATCAACTACAATGCAACTGTTTTGCTATTATTTACTTACTTACTATGGTACTATAGAAATACAGTTTCAATTATTCCACATCTTTCATACATTCCTTGTATTATTCAACTTTTAAAGCCAGCAATGTCAGCCTTTTAACATACAGCATTCACACCAAAATCTCTTCAGAAATGCCCTAGGTTTATCAACTAATATGCCATATAAAATTGCAACCACATACATGTAGCCCTTTCAAGTTCACCCCTAGATTAGTGTTGGAGACCTGATGCTTGCAATGCAATAATAAATCCAGTAATGAGATCCAAACTGTCAACATATAGCTGACATTATTAAACACACAACCCTGTGGGTGCCTCCACTGGTGTTTTTTAAGCTGGGAAGACACTGTACAGATATTTTCCCAATTTGTTGCCCCCTAGAACCGGGATGACATTCTGCCAGATTGGTCAGATGGACTTCTCACTTGAGTTTCAAGGCAGATGTTTTTCAAATTTGTCGCAGGAGACAGTGCAGGCCTGTTGGTTTTCTGTGCAATAATTTCTGCTATAGATCAACTGATTCTCCTTTTCTCTGTGCCTCACCTACTGATGATGAAAAACCAGCATCCAGTTGCCACTGAGCTATGCATTTCAATGAAGCTTATGTCAAGCCCCCGTCTTGCCTGTTCTATAACCAGAATGGCCTGGGCCATGGCTCAGTGTGAAGTGTAGGGTAAATTGATTTTTTTTCCCTCAAACATGAGATTCCTTACCTATCTTGGCAGCAGCCTTCCCTGTCTTCATCAGCATGGTGGTGACAGTTTTTGTCAGTCTACCTCATTCTCTTGACCCTGTCACACACACAGTCATATACCTTGATGATGTGGAGGACTAAACTGTTCCCCTCCCTCTTGTCCTCCTTTGTATACATCAAAGGCAGTTAAGTATAAGGTTTTTATACATAGAATTTAAGCTTTTGTGTTTTTAAATTAACCACTCTATTCTCACTAAGTTTACAGGCATTTCAAGATCAATGTTGTTTTTATTTGTTTGTACATGGAATGCCTTATGTTTACATGCTATGTCTACATAAAACATTACATTACCTTAGCTAACTCCAATGTTCCAATGTTTTTCTACGTCATTTTTCAAAACTTAGAAGTTCGAATTCATCAAAAGCTACATCCAGCTTACAGGGTGTAGTTTGGACACAAAGCCCAGATCTGGCATTCCCACTATATTAGTCTTTGTACTAGAAAAATTTATATATAATGTGTATATACAAGTATCCTTCAAACTGAAATTGCAAGTACTGTGGTTACTGATTTGGGACATCTCAAATTATTAGCTGACATTCAATGATGATTTAACGATCAGAAAATACAGATGATTGTCCAACTCTTGTTTTTGTAAAATTCATCAACTGATGCGGTGACGTAGGACGTCAAATGATCAAAGTTAAAAGTAGATGTTGTGTCCATTGCTGTTTAAAAAGAGTATTACAGTTCCACTTAACAATTTGAATCCTCACATATTGGTCAAACAATTTAACTGTCTCCTGATCTATATTTACAGTTCAACTGTAAATATAGATCAGTACAACTGTACTCAAACATTTTGTAACAATATTTACAGTATTTGAAATAGTACGTGGGTCTCTGTTTTAATCACCCTACCAGTTTTCTATCCTTATGAAGTTATAGAATTTAAAGCACCAAAGTTAACTTGCAAAGTTAGTTCCCTGCCACAGTGTCAACTGGTTGCAGTGGTCCATTGGTATTTTTTAAGTTAAAATAAATCAACTTTTACCTTCTAACTTTATGCCATGAACATTAAACTCAAAGGCTGACCCGTGGGACCCCACGCAAATCTTTGTTTATTTAAAAATAAATTGCAGGTCTTGAGATGTAGCTTGCACCCACTATAAAGATGGAGATGGAGTCACATAAAATTGGTTTACATAAAAAGAAGATTCAAGATTAAAGGGTTTAAAAAAAAACAGGAAAGCAGGGCAAATCTGGCATTTGGAGAAATTTCTCTGACACAGTAAAATAACATCTGTTCACCTGTAAGACAGGAGAAGAAACAAAGTCTCTGTTGTGGGGGCCTGAATGGTCAGAATGTTTGCAGTGATGGGATTAAGAAAACAGTCCCTTCTTGGCTTTATTTGAAACAACTACCCTCATATATATATTGAGTCGTACTAAAATCAAACACACCTAAATCATCACTAGAGCTGCCTTTTTGTGCGGAAAGTGTTAAATGGAAATCTCCTGTCACCTGTGTGCAAACAAGGTGTGACAAATGTGAATGTAAGTTAAATGTAACAAAAACAAATAAGAATATACCATCTGTTAGAGCTTTTTATAGTCTTTTAAACAATAACCAACAAGAAACAAATAAGCTCATGGACACACATCTACATACCACCCCCATACTCCTTTTCAAGAAATTAAATTCAGATAACCACATCCCATTTTATGTTGTCACCTTGAGAGTTTCTGTAGATTTGATGCTGGAAGGCATGCAGCTTGTTGATTAGAACAGTACAAACACTGAATGCTAATGCTCAGAAATGTTATTCAGTTTCAATCAGGAGGGAGGTGCAGTCGCTCACAGTCTCACTCATGCTGTCTTTGCCTGTCTTCTGCATACCTAAAGGTTTTTGCCTAATCTCACAATGTAAGACTTGTTTCTATTTGTGCTCCTTATTTAAATCAGAGTTAAAACTTATTTGTTCTTTTAAAGCAGTTGCTGATTTTTGTCCCATTTCCCACTGTCACTCTTGGATGAAAACCTTGGATCTCCAGCATATGATTTGTTAGTAACAAGAAAAAGTAACAGTTTTTTTATCTTGATTGCCATTCTGTTTTGATCGTACCCAAGAAGTGTTATCATAAAACCTTCTTTTATGCTATGCACCATTTTTGTACACACACACAGACACACCCTTGTTCTTCCATCTGTTTTAAGTACAGAAAAACTAAAGGACTTCTTTGGGTTATGTAAATCAATGCCCTATTTTCTGCATTGTTTTAACAGTTCTCACACAATATTTAGATCCCGGGTGGGTTTAGCAGCCCAAGCAAGAATTCATTACCACCTCTTAAGAATTCTTGCTTAACGAATATAATGTAATTTTGTATGATTAAAATAATCAGAAGACTCTTTCACTGAGCATTTTATTTACATCAGAGATGATGCAGACTATTATGTTAGGTTGCAGAGTTTTACATACATGTCTATATGTTGGCTTAACAGTGTAAGTAACATGTATTTGCAGTAATGAAAGACTAAACATATGTTTGAGGAAGACCATAAAATGTCACGCTGGGTACATCTTGGTCACAGTTCTTTAAAAAAAAAAAATCAGGGAACCCTATGAAAGATTTTTGTTTTTTATCATGTATTTATGTTAATAAAATGAATATTGTTATTAGATTTGTAAACTCTCAAATATTGATATGGGTGTTGTCCTCAAATCACTGTCAGTCAGGCTATACAATATATACAAATAACTATAGCTCTAACTGCCTGGATGTGCTTTGTTGTTTGTAGGAATGTAAAGATATATCACGACACGATTAAATTGTGACACAAATCTGTGGAGGTTCAACTCGGTGAGATGAAAAATAAATAGTGATATCCATCAAGGTATCAAGGCGCAAAGACATCAGCTTCACTTCACAAAATGAAAAATTGCATTATTTTTCACAGTTTATACCGTACCTCAGAAATAAAAAAGGTTTCTAAAATGTAATAAAGAAAATATATTTTGTCATAATTTGTCTCATTTTGTTTAAAAAAATAATAAGAAAATTGTATTTTGAACCCAGTATAGTGAATTGTATTGAATTGTGAATTGAGTGTGTCATTACACAGAATCAGAATCAGAATCAGAAATACCGGGGGGAAATTAATTTTTTTCACCTTTAGTTGTTTCCCTTTATATGTAATATTTCAGTACAGTTTTTCTTACCAGGCCTGCAATCCTACGTTTACTACTGCTGCCGTTCTCCTCAGCAGAAAGTACTGGATTCTACATGTGTTTTTCTGTCTCAAAGCTTTCCAGAGTGGTTGATGAGTATGAAAGTGTTGTTGTCAGTTGTCAGTCTTACACTGTTGGATATTGATTTAATGTTTGTTGTTTCAGTTGGGTGCAGAGCTTTGGGCATGAGGGTCTTGGACTGCTGCTGGACATTTTGGAAAGGTTGCTGTTCAAGAAGTAAGTCGATGCATTCTCTTGTGTTTATTCCTGTGCAGACCCTTGCTTATCTCACTATTATTATTTGTGTATTCATAATAACTAGGGATGATCCCGACCGATCTCAACGATGGGTATCGGCACCGATCAAGGCATTTATTAACTGATCGGTATCGGCTATATTGAGCTTTAATGACCCGAACCAATGTCTTATGTCAGCGGTTGTACAGCTGTTTTTACTCACAAAGCGTTCATGCACAGTGCAGTCATCGTCAACTTCCTCTGTCTGCCTCTCCACACTGCTCTGTCAGCGTGGGAGCACAGGCAGCCCTGCCTCCTCTGCAGAGTTTCACCACAGGTCCAACACAGCCACACTCAACACGCCACTGCCAGTGCAACAAAAGCCCCGCCAACAAAAAAAACAATAACAGTAATTATTGAATGTAATCTGCGCAAAAGATGTACAGGCAACGGAAATAAACAGTCAGCAGAATACAGACAGTTCATTCAGGTAACTCAGGTAAAGGCTGCACTGAAGCAACAAACACTGGAGAGACTCCTTCCAGACAGCGACAAGACCAAGTTGTTTAGCCATTTCTACAAAAAATTATAGTTAAACCCCACATTTATTTTAAAATATATATTTATATTTGGCAGTTGGACAGTTATCAGAACGCTTCTTAAAACACTTCTCTGTCATCAGCACTTTCTTACAGTTTACACACTTCATCTGAATATAAAAATGTACACTCATTTTCACCCTGTATATCATTTTTAGTCTTCATGCTGTACATCACAGATTAGTTGCTCATCGTTGTCTTGTTTCCCCAGGCAAGAGAAAATTGACAAAAGGAACCAACATAAAGTTGTCCAGTGTCTCAAAGCCTTCATGAACAATAAGGTAATGACAATAGATGTTTTTTGTAAGTAACCCCATTTGATAATGTTTCCAAATTTAGGTTGTAAGTAAATTTCCTTTTGATATATCACTTTGTTTAACATTAAATTAGTACTTTTATTCACCTAAAATTATGGGTGTCATTCTTAACAGGTATTTGATTTTAAAGAAAACGAGTACAAGGATCAATGTTTTTTAGTTATAATTTGTTTTACTGTTGTAATTGTTTATATATTCAGTAAAAAAAAACTTAGCAAGACTATTCTCTGATCTTTGAAATCAGTAAAATAATGTATTGATTTGATGAGTGTTTATAGTTTTGGGAATTGTTTTTGTCTATGTTATTTGTGTTTGCGAACTTTCTATAAAGTGACAGGTGTGGTGGTGGGTGTACTTCCACAAGGTGTCTTTAAAGACATCATTTTACTATGGCTACATTAATGTTATTAGGAAATACACCCTGTATTTAGGGAAAATATCTATTTGAAATAACTTCCTGCAGTTTGAGTTGAGTCTGATCTCCGAGGGTAATTTCAATCCCATCCACACTGACATCTAGTGTTTTCATGTAATTACCAAATTAGAAAGCTGGGATTTCAATTACAAAGGACTTATGACCAGTGGAGGAGAAGAGCAGCATCATAACAATATGGAGACGATTGGGGGCAGTCTTACTAATGTCCTGATGAAATCTGGATAACACTGTGTGACACATTTGCACAGATCTACGGTTCCTGGTTTTCCCTCAAGTCCCCACTCTGGAATTAGTACTTTCTGATGGCTCAGGAGCTGTGAGAGAGAGTGTGTGAATAAAAGAGAGAGTAACTGAGGGAAAGAGGCCATCAAGAGAGTAAACGAGAAGAAACACATCTTTATTTGCTGATTGTTTCAACGTGGTAATGTGCTACAGCCCAAATTAATAACCATAAATCACAGAACAGTGTGTCTCTGTCTTGTTTTTGTTGTGTGTCAACACTGCATCTCCAACAAATGTGCTGTTGGTCTATTTGCCTAATCTTTATGGTTCTACAGATGCATTGGAAATGCAACAGGATTGTTGAAAATAGTCACAGATTCTTTGGACTATTTGGTCCAAAAAAGCCACAGCACAGTCTGAGCAGTAGAGATAAAGGGACACAGGCAGCCATTCAACACAAATTGTTGTGTTACAAATTACCTATAGAAGCAAAAGAAACAGAATAGCATTTTGAAAGAACATAGAAAGTAGGGCAGGGCAATAAACCAAATATGTACTGAAACTAATTTTAGTCATGTCATTATGTTTGGTTAATGGGTTCTCTTCAAACAAGCTGTCATTTGCAACCTACCCCTTAATGCACCTGAAAATATATGAATGTTTTCCAAAAACCTTCATAAGTCATTTTGCTGTTATTTAATTACAGATTGTGCAAATTATTTAAGCAACATAATTTAGCAAAACGATGAAACAATATGATAATATTGTGATGAAATGATTCCACTTAAGGTCAGTAGACAATAATAAATCACCCAGACCTAAGCACTTGTGCATAAAATATGTTCTGTGGAAATAGCTTTTTGTCACAATGCTTCAGCTTTTCCTTTTGTGCCGTTAGTTTACAGTAGATATATAAAAAAAAAATCTTGCCACATGGAGCTAAAACTCAGCGGAGACAGATATACAGCCACTTTGGCACAAAGCATGCTGTAAGGTCTCATGTAATCCTGCGTCTCAACAGGCGCCAGACGCCAGCATTTACCCGTAGGCCTCTCTGTCAGCCCAGACCTTTCCCTGGCTGGAGAGGCATCTTGGGATGGGATGTACCCACAATGCCAAGAAGACAGGTGTTCTCTGCCAGCTGCCAGTGCAGCCTTTTTCTCTTCTGCCTTCCTGTGTCAAGTCACACAGTTGCATATTTTCTATTGTCTGTCACCAATGGCATGATAATGTAATACTTAAAGTTACTACACTGTGAAACCTCCCTTCAATATAGATTTGACATGTTTGCTTAACTGCATATATATATATATATA